TTCGGTGAGTTGTGTGAGGATGTGCAGTGGTTTGTGTCTCGCGGAGCTGTGGGGGGTCAGCGAGTTTCTGAGACGGAGGGCGGACAACCGGATGGATGACGCAGCGCGAGAGCGGCTGAACGCCGATCCATCACGTCTGACCCGGGTGGAGGAGGGATGGATGAACCTCCACCTGCTCCAGCATCAGAGACGCTCTAAGCTGCAGTTAACATTCCTGCTGTTTTTCTGCCCTGTTATGACGTTTTGCAAACAATCTGTTTTACAATGTTTAATAAACATGCTAATTTTGGAGAATTTTTAAATATGGGGTAAAACTAAAAGAGTCATTCTTTTGAGTCATTTAGTTTGTCATGAGAGAAAAACACTGACATTTGTTTTCAATGTCACATGATTAACATATCATTGATAAATGTCACAGCTCCAAACTGCATATGGAGTTAGTTCAGACTAAAGCTAAACATTTAGCTCACAGCTAACTAAATACTACATTTAGTTAATAAACTAATTATTTTAAATGAAAGTTCAGTTTGAAACATTTTTCTGCTGGTTTCTGACTGTGTGACCAACGGCAGCATCATGCTGGTGGAAATCAGGTCAAATTCTGCTCAGGTTTTTTTCTTATGGTGTTAAATTATTACTATTACTGTCAATATTATTTATTCCTATATGGCTTTTACACTGTGTGAACCTTTATATCTGGAGCTGCTATTACACCTGGATTTACCTTTTCCAGGACAATAAAGGCTGTTTCTATTCTGTTCTGATCTTTCTCTGCAGTTGTGACTCACAGCAGGCGCAGCGATCGCAGTCCGTCGAAGGCGTGGAGTGGGATGCAGCGGATCTGGTTGTAGCTCAGGATGCTGAAAGAAACACAAACAAAACTCACTATTTTCTCAGGAATAAGAACATCTGAAGGCCGACTGGATTTTCTTTAAGGGTATCAGAGAAAAAGGGCTGAAAATGAATAATTGTAAAACCAAGTTTAATGATGATCTGTTGCATAAAATCTCCAAATCTGTGGTTATAATGGGACAAGAGGTATGAACGTTTTTAGGCCTGGATTTAAAAAGCATGAGGAAAACTCCAGGAAGTTGTTTCTATTTAATACAACATAAAAACCAAAAATGTCACCAGAAAACGAAATTCTCAGCAGGCTGTCCTGCAGGTAACCTGTAACTCACAGTGTGGCCAGCTGAGTCATGTTGCTGAAGGTGAAGGGAGCCACTGTGCTGATGCTGTTGTTGCTCAAATCCCTGCCAACAAACACAAAGAGTCAGCAACGAGCCAGCAGGGGGGGCCAGTGAGCACAGCAGCATGCTCACTGCGGTGGGACGGAGGGCAGGGAGGTTACGTACACCAGGGAGAGCTGCTTCAGGGCGGCCAGCTCCTTCGGAACCGACGACAGCTGGTTCCCCTCCAGGTACCTGACAGGAAACAAGCTGAGATCATTTCTGCTCTACATGGACCGACTTCAGAACCTCCAAAAACAATAATAAACACTTTATAAGCTTAATAAATGTTAATAACTGTTATAGCATTAATAAATGTTAATAATTGTTATAGCATTAATAAATGTTAATAACTGTTCTAACATTAATAAATGTTAATAATTGTTATAACATTAATAAATGTTAATAACTGTTCTAACATTAATAAATGTTAATAATTGTTATAACATTAATAAATGTTAATAATGTTATAACATTAATAAATGTTAATAATGTTATAACATTAATAATTGTTAATAACTGTTATAATATTAATAAATGCTAATAACTGTTATAACATTAATAATGTTAATAATGTTGTAACATTAATAAATGTTAATAATGTTATAACATTAATAAATGTTAATAATGTTATAACATTAATAAATGTTAATAACTGTTATAGCATTAATAAATGTTAATAACTGTTCTAACATTAATAAATGTTAATAATGTTATAACATTAATAAATGTTAATAACTGTTCTAACATTAATAAATGTTAATAATGTTATAACATTATTAAATGTTAATAACTGTTATAGCAGTTATAACATTATTAACATTAATAAATGTTAATAATGTTATATCATTAATAAATGTTAATAACTGTTCTAACATTAATAAATGTTAATAACTGTTATAGCATTAATAAATATTAATAACTGTTCTAACATTAATAAATGTTAATAACTGTTATAACATTAATAAATGTTAATAACTGTTCTAACATTAATAAATGTTAATAATGTTATAACATTATTAAATGTTAATAACTGTTCTAACATTAATAAATGTTAATAACTGTTATAACATTAATAAATGTTAATAATGTTATAACATTAATAAATGTTAATAATGTTATAACATTAATAAATGTTAATAATTGTTATAACATTAATAAAATGTTAATAACTGTTATAACATTAATAAATGTTAATAATGTTATAACATTAATAAATGTTAATAACTTATATATTAATAAATGTTAATAACTGTTATAACATTAATAAATGTTAATAACTGTTATAATTAATAAATGTTAATAATGTTAAAATAAATGTTAATAATGTTATAATTAATAACTGTTATAATATTAATAAATGTTAATAATGTTATAACATTAATAAATGTTAATAATGTTATAACATTAATAAATGTTAATAACTGTTATAATATTAATAAATGTTAATAACTGTTATAACATTAATAAATGTTAATAACTGTTATAATATTAATAAATGTTAATAATGTTATAACATTAATAAATGTTAATAACTGTTATAATATTAATAAATGTTAATAATGTTATAACATTAATAAATGTTAATAACTGTTATAATATTAATAAATGTTAATAACTGTTATAACATTAATAAATGTTAATAACTGTTATAACATTAATAAATGTTAATAATGTTATAACATTAATAAATGTTAATAATGTTGTAACATTATTAAATGTTAATAACTGTTATAACATTAATAAATGTTAATAATGTTATAACATTAATAAATGTTAATAATGTTATAACATTAATAAATGTTAATAAATGTTATAAATTAATAAATGTTAATAACTGTTATAACATTAATAAATGTTAATAATGTTATAACATTAATAAATGTTTAATAATGTTGTAACATTATTAAATGTTAATAACTGTTTAAACATTAATAAATGTTAATAATGTTATAACATTAATAAATGTTAATAATGTTATAACATTAATAAATGTTAATAACTGTTATAGCATTAATAAATGTTAATAACTGTTATAACATTAAATGTTAATAACTGTTATAACATTAATAAATGTTAATAACTGTTATAACATTAATAAATGTTAATAATGTTATAGCATTAATAAATGTTAATAACTGTTATAACATTAAATGTTAATAACAGTTATAACATTAATAAATGTTAATAATGTTATAACATTAATAAATGTTAATAACTGTTATAACATTAATAAATGTTAATAATGTTATAACATTAATAAATGTTAATAACTGTTATAACATTAATAAATGTTAATAACTATTCATAACAGTTTAACAATTCATTATGGTTGATAATGGTTTATGGCAGTTAATAACAGTTCAGAGCCGTCATTCGCGGTTAATAACTAAAACTAATCAAGTCTGAAGTCATATTCTTTTCACTCGACTCGAGTCTCAAAGTGGAGCCTCTGATAGTTTTCTAAATTTAATCGTCACCAAACGATCAGAAATGAAATGTTATTGTAACCATCAGACATGGTTTCCTGGATCCTGCTGATCCTCCTCAGGTCAGAAGTAGGTCATGTGGACAGAATGATGGAGTGTCTTCTCCAGGCTGATCAATACCTAATCACTGCTATTGACCCAGCAGCACCGGCCCATTTCACAGCTGCTCTGCTGCTGCGTGGATCTGGTTCTGCCTCAGAGCAATAACTCATGATTACTGCTGCAGGTTTCCAGACCCGACTCTGGCTTTCTGAAAACCGGTCTGCTGCGGCCCACTCACAGCTCCGTGGTGTCCTTGGGGATGCCCTTGGGCAGCGCGTGCAGGCCGCGGTTGCTGCAGCGCACCACTCCGTCTGAGCATGTGCAGACGTCAGGCAACCAGACGCAGGAAGGCAGCCATTTTCCTCGGCACCTGGACAGAGAGAGGAGACTGGTGAGAGAAACAGATCCACACCCCGAGTCTAAACCTGAACCTGAAAAATGTTACATTCTGAGGAATTATTAATGACTTCATTAAGAAACAACATTTATCTGGCTCATATCTGCAGGAAAACTGCAACCTGCGGTGACCTGATGTCCATCTGAAGGAAAGTTTACATTTTAAATACATTTAAAAGAAAGTAAACATTTTTTATGCAATTATTAAATTCAGAAGGAAAAACCCAGCAGCTCTTTAAAAATCGATCTATATAAATATTTGTGTGAGTGCTGGCTGACGTCCTATTTAACTGTGACCTGATTGGTTCTGTTAGAGTGAAAAGGTGCGAGTGGTTCTGAGTTGATCACCTGTTCAGGTTATTCTACTTTGTTTTCCTTCGCTGTGGTTCATCACAGCCGCTGGAGTTTCTGAACATTCAATAAACGACAGACTTGGACTGATGACCTCGTTCGTTTGCAGTAAACGTCACAACCAACATCAAATAGGACAAATATATTTGATTAAGTTTTAACAAACAAATGGCTTCTACCACAATAATTGTGTCAAATTACATTAATTATATCCCAAATTCAGCAGATTTGCCTTTCCCCTCTGCAGAGCTCTTTGCTTCCTCCCATCAGTCTGCAGTTTCTCATATTGACGTCATCAAACCAAATTTCAGATCCACCATAACTGACTGACACCTGCTGGCCTCAGGTTTACAACCAGCTTCTGACTGAGAAACCAGTAACCTGCTGAAACCAGTAACCTACTGAAACCAGTAACCTGCTGAAACCAGTAACCTACTGAAACCAGTAACCTACTGAAACCAGTAACCTACTGAAACCAGTAACCTACTGAAACCAGTAACCTGCTGAAACCAGTAACCTACTGAAACCAGTAACCTGCTGAAACCAGTAACCTATTGAAACCAGTGACCTACTGAAACCAGTAACCTACTGAAACCAGTAACCTGCTGAAACCAGTAAGCTACTGAAACCAGTAACCTACTGAAACCAGTAACCTACTGAAACCAGTAACCTGCTGAAACCAGTAACCTACTGAAACCAGTAACCTGCTGAAACCAGTAACCTATTGAAACCAGTAACCTGCTGAAACCAGTAACCTGCTGAAACCAGTAACCTGCTGAAACCAGTAACCTACTGAAACCAGTAACCTACTGAAACCAGTAACCTGCTGAAACCAGTAACCTACTGAAACCAGTAACCTGCTGAAACCAGCAACCTGCTGAAACCAGTAACCTATTGAAAACCAGTAACCTACTGAAACCAGTAACCTGCTTCCAGAGTCAGAATCTCACTGAGGAAGAAACTGCATTATCATTTCTATCACTTTATCATTTCTGATAAAACTGATGGATATTTGCATAGAAAATGAGTCAATAGGGTTTCATTTATAATTTCTATGTCTTCATGTCATGAGGTAGATCTCAGCCGGCTGGTGAGAGAAAAAGTAGATCTTGGTCTCAAAACGTTTGAGCTCCCCTGATCTAGAACTTAAGTTATAGATTATAGATTATAGAACACAAACCCACTAATTGATATTTGAAGCAGTAATTGATGTCTGTATCTGTGAAGCTAACTGAAGCTGCTGCAGACAAACAGAAGGAGTCGCTGTAGTTTGACAAATTCTCTGCTCCTTCAACTGGTAAGTCTGCTCGCAAACAGCACATTTACTTTTTAAGACGTTGTGGTTGTAATGATCCCTCATTCACACAAACAGACTGATTGCAATCACTCAGACTCTGATAAAAGGCTCAGAGATGAAAGCTGCTGTTGCTCTTGGCTGCAGCCTCTTCCAGCTCCGGCGTTCGGTCGGCAGCACGGCTCTGGTGGAGAACGCGAGCCGCCCAACCGCCGTCCCAAACGTAAAACAGCCCAGTGAAAACCATAATGAAGGATAATGAGAGTTGGAAGCCGAGCCAATCACAACACGACTGGAACTGGAGTTTATGCGTAATCTAAAAACGGAAAGCTTGCAGCCTCCATGTTGTTGAAACGCCGTCATGTGAACGAGACACGAAGGACAAACATCGCTGTTCACTGGGCCTGCAGCTTCCAGCAATACATTATTCTATAGATTATTCTGGGGATTAATCGATTATTCACCAGATTAATCTACTATTCTATCAGTTATTTTGATTTATTGATTAAACGTGAGAATAATCTATACCTGCAGCAGCAGGCTGCAGCAGCAGCGGCCTGCTGCTCGTGGCTGCAGCAGCAGCCAGCAGCTCGTGGCTGCAGCAGCGGCTCAGGCTAATTGAACTAACATCTCAATGTGCGCTAAATATCTGCTCACAAATTCAATTAACTTTACCTTTCCCCCGGCTGCATGTGGACACCTTAACGATGTTTCAGCTCACTAAAAATAGACCCAGTGTGTGTGTGTGTGTGTGTGTGTCTCTGTGTGTGTGTCTCAGTGTGTGTGTGTGTGTGTGTGTGTGTGTGTCTCAGTGTGTGTGTGTGTGTGTGTGTGTGTGTGTGTGTGTGTGTGTGTGTGTGTGTGTGTGTGTGTGTGTGTGTGTGTGTGTGTGTCTCAGTGTGTGTGTGTGTGTGTGGAGCACACCGTGGTGGGCAGTGTGTTAGTTTCAGATCTCTGACTGTTGGTTCGCAGCCAGAGATCAATCGATTTCATATTGCTGCTGATCCAGATCTGTGATTCTACGACCTGAGCCATGAAACAAAGGTCAAACAAAACGCCTCATTTTCACTTTGCATTAAGGATTCACCATGCTGCTCCTTATGCATTACTTTTTATTTTAGGGGATGAGAAGGATTTACGGTTGGACATTAGGCTGGGCTGAATCAGGGTTCAAGGTGGGACGGATTTATGAGAAGGTCTGAGAAAAACTCTGGTTTCTACAGGAACCAAACCCAAAATCTCCGAAACCATTTCCTGGAAACATAAAAGGGAAGTTGGAAAAGTTTCACCTTCTGCACTTATAACATTTAATTTCCCTTTGAGGCCAATAAAGTACGTCTGATTTGAAATTCAACACACAACAAAAGCTGACGACCAGAGAGAGGGACGGTTGGATGCTTGGTTGGATGTTTGGTTGGATGTTTGGTTGGATGTTTAGTTGGATGTTTAGTTGGATGCTTGGTTGGATGTTTGGTTGGATGTTTGGTTGGATGTTTAGTTGGATGTTTGGTTGGATGTTTAGTTGGATGTTTAGTTGGATGCTTGGTTGGATGTTTGGTTGGATGTTTGGTTGGATGTTTGGTTGGATGCTTGGTTGGATGTTTAGTTGGATGTTTGGTTGGATGTTTAGTTGGATGTTTGGTTGGATGTTTTAGTTGGATGCTTGGTTGGATGTTTGGTTGGATGTTTGGTTGGATGTTTGGTTGGATGCTTGGTTGGATGCTTGGTTGGATGTTTAGTTGGATGTTTGGTTGGATGTTTAGTTGGATGTTTGGTTGGATGTTTAGTTGGATGCTTGGTTGGATGTTTGGTTGGATGTTTGGTTGGATGTTTGGTTGGATGTTTGGTTGGATGCTTGGTTGGATGTTTAGTTGGATGTTGGTTGGATGTTTAGTTGGATGTTTGGTTGGATGTTTAGTTGGATGTTTGGTTGGATGTTTAGTTGGATGTTTGGTTGGATGTTTAGTTGGATGCTTGGTTGGATGCTTGGTTGGATGTTTAGTTGGATGTTTGGTTGAATGTTTGGTTGGATGTTTGGTTGGATGCTTGGTTGGATGTTTAGTTGGATGTTTGGTTGGATGTTTAGTTGGATGTTTGGTTGGATGTTTAGTTGGATGTTGGATGTTTGGATGTTGGATGTTGGATGTTTGGTTGGATGTTTGGTTGGATGTTGGATGCTTGGTTGGATGCTTGGTTGGATGTTTAGTTGGATGTTTGGTTGAATGTTTGGTTGGATGTTTGGTTGGATGCTTGGTTGTTTAGTTGGATGTTTGGTTGGATGTTTAGTTGGATGTTTGGTTGGATGTTTGGTTGGATGTTTGGTTGGATGTTTAGTTGGATGTTTGGTTGGATGCTTGGTTGGATGTTTGGTTGGATGTTTGGTTGGATGTTTGGTTGGATGCTTGGTTGGATGTTTGGTTGGATGTTTGGTTGGATGTTTAGTTGGATGCTTGGTTGGATGTTTGGTTGGATGTTTGGTTGGATGTTTAGTTGGATGTTTGGTTGGATGTTTGGTTGGATGTTTAGTTGGATGTTTAGTTGGATGTTTGGTTGGATGTTTGGTTGGATGTTTGGTTGGATGTTTAGTTGGATGCTTGGTTGGATGTTTGGTTGGATGTTGGTTGGATGTTTGGTTGGATGCTTGGTTGGATGTTTAGTTGGATGTTTGGTTGGATGTTTAGTTGGATGTTTGGTTGGATGTTTAGTTGGATGTTTGGTTGGATGTTTAGTTGGATGTTTGGTTGGATGTTTAGTTGGATGCTTGGTTGGATGCTTGGTTGGATGTTTAGTTGGATGTTTGGTTGAATGTTTGGTTGGATGTTTGGTTGGATGCTTGGTTGTTTAGTTGGATGTTTGGTTGGATGTTTAGTTGGATGTTTGGTTGGATGTTTGGTTGGATGTTTAGTTGGATGTTTAGTTGGATGCTTGGTTGGATGTTTGGTTGGATGTTTGGTTGGATGTTTGGTGGATGCTTGGTTGGATGTTTGGTTGGATGTTTGCTTGGATGCTTGGTTGGATGTTTGGTTGGATGTTTGGTTGGATGCTTGGTTGGATGTTTGGTTGGATGTTTGGTTGGATGCTTGGTTGGATGTTTGGTTGGATGTTTGGTTGGATGTTTGGTTGGATGCTTGGTTGGATGTTTGGTTGGATGTTTGGTTGGATGCTTGGTTGGATGCTTGGTTGGATGTTTAGTTGGATGTTTGGTTGGATGTTTGGTTGGATGCTTAGTTGGATGCTTGGTTGGATGTTTGGTTGGATGTTTAGTTGGATGTTTGGTTGGATGTTTGGATGTTTGTTTGGATGTTTGGTTAGATGCTTGGTTGTTTAGTTGGATGTTTGGTTGGATGTTTAGTTGGATGTTTGGTTGGATGTTTGGATGTTTGTTTGGATGTTTGGTTAGATGCTTGGTTGTTTAGTTGGATGTTGGTTGGTTGTTTAGTTGGATGTTTGGTTGGATGTTTGGATGTTTGTTTGGATGTTTGGTTAGATGCTTGGTTGTTTAGTTGGATGTTTGGTTGGATGTTTAGTTGGATGTTTGGTTGGATGCTTGGTTGGATGTTTGGTTGGATGTTTAGTTGGATGTTTGGTTGGATGTTTGGTTGGATGCTTGGTTGGATGTTTAGTTGGATGTTTGGTTGGATGTTTGGTTGGATGTTTGGTTGGATGTTTAGTTGGATGTTTAGTTGGATGCTTGGTTGGATGTTTGGTTGGATGTTTGGTTGGATGTTTGGTTGGATGCTTGGTTGGATGTTTGGTTGGATGTTTGGTTGGATGCTTGGTTGGATGTTTGGTTGGATGTTTGGTTGGATGCTTGGTTGGATGTTTGGTTGGATGTTTGGTTGGATGCTTGGTTGGATGTTTGGTTGGATGTTTGGTTGGATGTTTGGTTGGATGCTTGGTTGGATGTTTGGTTGGATGTTTGGTTGGATGCTTGGTTGGATGCTTGGTTGGATGTTTAGTTGGATGTTTGGTTGGATGTTTGGTTGGATGTTTAGTTGGATGTTTGGTTGGATGTTTGGTTGAATGTTTGGTTGGATGTTTGGTTGGATGTTTAGTTGGATACTTGGTTGGATGTTTAGTTGGATGTTTGGTTGGATGTTTAGTTGGATGTTTGGTTGGATGTTTGGTTGGATGTTTGGTTGGATGTTTAGTTGGATGCTTGGTTGGATGTTTGGTTGGATGTTTGGTTGGTTGGATGTTTGGTTGGATGCTTGGTTGGATGCTTGGTTGGATGTTTGGTTGGATGCTTGGTTGGATGCTTGGTTGGATGTTTGGTTGGATGTTTGGTTGGTTGGATGTTTGGTTGGATGTTTGGTTGGATGCTTGGTTGGATGCTTGGTTGGATGTTTAGTTGGATGTTTGGTTGGATGTTTGGATGTTTGGTTGGATGCTTGGTTGGATGCTTGGTTGTTTAGTTGGATGTTTGGTTGGATGTTTAGTTGGATGTTTGGTTGGATGTTTGGTTGGATGTTTGGTTGGATGTTTGGTTGGATGTTTAGTTGGATGCTTGGTTGGATGTTTAGTTGGATGTTTGGTTGGATGTTTAGTTGGATGTTTGGTTGGATGTTTGGTTGGATGTTTGGTTGGATGCTTGGTTGGATGCTTGGTTGGATGTTTGGTTGGATGTTTGGTTGGATGTTTGGTTGGATGCTTGGTTGGATGTTTGGTTGGATGTTTGGTTTGATGCTTGGTTGGATGTTTAGTTGGATGTTTGGTTGGATGTTTGGTTGGATGTTTGGTTGGATGCTTGGTTGGATGTTTGGTTGGATGTTTGGTTGGATGTTTGGTTGGATGCTTGGTTGGATGCTTGGTTGGATGTTTGGTTGGATGTTTGGTTGGATGTTTAGTTTGATGTTTGGTTGGATGCTTGGTTGGATATTTGGTTGGATGTTTAGTTGGATGTTTGGTTGGATGTTTGGTTGGATGCTTGGTTGGATGTTTGGTTGGATGCTTGGTTGGATGTTTGGTTGGATGCTTGGTTGGATGCTTGGTTGGATGTTTGGTTGGATGTTTGGTTGGATGTTTAGTTGGATGTTTGGTTGGATGTTTGGTTGGATGCTTGGTTGGATGTTTGGTTGGATGTTTGGTTGGATGCTTGGTTGGATGTTTAGTTGGATGTTTGGTTGGATGTTTGGTTGGATGCTTGGTTGGATGCTTGGTTGGATATTTGTTGGATGTTTGGTTGGATGTTTAGTTGGATGTTTGGTTGGATGTTTGGTTGGATGTTTGGTTGGATGTTTGGTTGGATGCTTGGTTGGATGTTTGGTTGGATGTTTGGTTGGATGCTTGGTTGGATGTTTAGTTGGATGTTTGGTTGGATGTTTGGTTGGATGTTTGGTTGGATGCTTGGTTGGATGTTTGGTTGGATGTTTGGTTGGATGTTTGGTTGGATGCTTGGTTGGATGCTTGGTTGGATGTTGGTTGGATGTTTGGTTGGATGTTTAGTTTGATGTTTGGTTGGATGTTTGGTTGGATGCTTGGTTGGATGTTTGGTTGGATGTTTGGTTGGATGCTTGGTTGGATGTTTAGTTGGATGTTTGGTTGGATGTTTGGTTGGATGCTTGGTTGGATGCTTGGTTGGATATTTGGTTGGATGTTTGGTTGGATGTTTAGTTGGATGTTTGGTTGGATGTTTGGTTGGATGCTTGGTTGGATGCTTGGTTGGATATTTGGTTGGATGTTTGGTTGGATGTTTAGTTGGATGTTTGGTTGGATGCTTGGTTGGATGCTTGGTTGGATGTTTGGTTGGATGCTTGGTTGGATGTTTAGTTGGATGTTTGGTTGGATGCTTGGTTGGATATTTGGTTGGATGTTTAGTTGGATGTTTGGTTGGATGTTTGGTTGGATGCTTGGTTGGATGTTTGGTTGGATGCTTGGTTGGATGTTTAGTTGGATGTTTGGTTGGATGTTTAGTTGGATGTTTGGTTGGATATTTGGTTGGATGTTTGGTTGGATGTTTAGTTGGATGCTTGGTTGGATGTTTAGTTGGATGTTTGGTTGGATGTTTGGTTGGATGCTTGGTTGGATGTTTGGTTGGATGTTTGGTTGGATGCTTGGTTGGATGTTTAGTTGGATGTTTGGTTGGATGCTTGGTTGGATATTTGGTTGGATGTTTAGTTGGATGTTTGGTTGGATATTTGGTTGGATGTTTGGTTGGATATTTGGTTGGATGTTTGGTTGGATATTTGGTTGGATGTTTGGTTGGATATTTGGTTGGATGTTTGGTTGGATGTTTGGTTGGATGTTTGGTTGGATGTTTGGTTGGATCAGGGTCTGGAGGTAAATCAGATTTGCGGTGTTTAAGTTTTTTGTCTCTGGAGATTCTAGGAAACTTAAATTTTTCTTTTTATGTTTGACATTCATACCATTTAATGAGAAAAGTTCAGGGTTCCTTCCTGAAGGAAGGAAACCTGAATTAGCATAATTAGCATCATAAACATCCTTAGCATTAGCATGCCTGGTGTCTGACCGTCGCAGGTGAAGTCGGGCGTGGCTACGTCCTGGATGGGGATCTCCTTCAGGAAGCCGGGCCTTTGGCAGCGCGGGTTCCCGCTCACCACCCGGGTCTTCTTCAGCCACTGGCCCAGCCAGGCCAGGTGGCAGTCGCACAAGTACGGGTTGGACAGCAGGTTACTGTGGACGGGAAAGGGGTCAGAGGTCAGAAAAAAACTCAGCTTGATTCCATCCACAGCTTGAGTCAGAATTAACATCCCATAATAGAGAGACTAGCTCATAAAATTTAGATCTGCAAACATAAATATATCCAAGAGAAGAGAGGGAAGGTTGTTTTTTATTTCCATCCATTCAGAGGAGAATGGAAGTGAAAGTAAAGGCTCCGGTTGCTCTCCCCTCATCGCCTCTTTCTCTTTGTTTCTGTTTCTAAACAGAAAATGTAAACGTCACACGCAGTGACATTGGATCCAAAGCTCTATGGGCCTGTTCAGCTGCAGCTGTTTTAATCAGGTATGAACTTTACTGGGTTTATATGATGTTCTATTGCTGTGGTTTGCATGAAGCTAGTCCTGCTGTGGTTAGCATAAATCTAGTCCTAATGTGGTTAGCATGAAGCTAGTCCTGGTGTGGTTAGCATTAAGCTAGTCCTGCTGCGGTTAGCATGAAGCTAGTCCTGCTGTGGTTAGCATGAAGCTACTCCTGGTGTGGTTAGCATGAAGCTAGTCCTGGTGTGGTTAGCATGAAGCTAGTCCTGCTGTGGTTAGCATTAAGCAAGTCCTGCTACGGTTAGCATGAAGCTAGTCCTGCTGTGGTTAGCAGGAAGCTAGTCCTGCTGCGGTTAGCATGAAGCTAGTCCTGGTGTGTTTAGCATGAAGCTAGTCCTGCTGTGGTTAGCATTAAGCTAGTCCTGCTGTGGTTAGCATTAAGCTAGTCCTGCTGTGGTTAGCATTATTCTAGTCCTGGTGTGGTTAGCATGAAGCTAGTCCTGCTGTGGTTAGCATTATTCTAGTCCTGGTGTGGTTAGCATGAAGCTAGTCCTGGTGTGTTTAGCATGAAGCTAGTCCTGCTGTGGTTAGCATTAAGCTAGTCCTGCTGTGGTTAGCATTAAGCTAGTCCTGCAGTGGTTAGCATTATTCTAGTCCTGGTGTGGTTAGCATGAAGCTAGTCCTGCTGTGGTTAGCATTAAGCTAGTCCTGCTGCGGTTAGCATGAAGCTAGTCCTGCTGTGGTTAGCATTAAGCTACTCCTGTGTGGTTAGCATGAAGCTAGTCCTGCTGTGGTTAGCATTAAGCTAGTCCTGCTGCGGTTAGCATGAAGCTAGTCCTGCTGTGGTTAGCATGAAGCTAGTCCAGGTGTGGTTAGCATGAAGCTAGTTCTGGTGTGGTTAGCATGAAGCTAGTCCTGGTGTGTTTAGCATGAAGCTAGTCCTGCTGTGGTTAGCATTAAGCTAGTCCTGCTGTGGTTAGCATTAAGCTAGTCCTGCTGTGGTTAGCATTATTCTAGTCCTGGTGTGGTTAGCATGAAGCTAGTCCTGCTGTGGTTAGCATTAAGCTAGTCCTGCTGCGGTTAGCATGAAGCTAGTCCTGCTGTGGTTAGCATTAAGCTACTCCTGGTGTGGTTAGCATGAAGCTAGTCCTGCTGTGGTTAGCATTAAGCTGGTCCTGCTGCGGTTAGCATGAAGCTAGTCCTGCTGTGGTTAGCATGAAGCTAGTCCAGGTGTGGTTAGCATGAAGCTAGTTCTGGTGTGGTTAGCATGAAGCTAGTCCTGCTGTGGTTAGCATTAAGCTACTCCCGGTGTGGTTAGCATGAAGCTAGTCCTGCTGTGGTTAGCATTAAGCTACTCCTGGTGTGGTTAGCATGAAGCTAGTCCTGCTGTGGTTAGCATTAAGCTACTCCTGGTGTGGTTAGCATAAAGCTAGTCCTGCTGTGGTTAGTATCCAATATAATAGTTAAATACTTTGCAGTAAACCCCCGAAATGTTATTTTCTTTTTGAGTAATGTTCATGTTCGTGTCGTTTCCCTCGGTTCCTGTTTTTCCTTTCTGCTCTTCGCTCTGCGCCGACGGGACCGGAGGTCAGATCACGGGGCGAATCGACATCATGGGGCAGATTAATCATATTTATAATTCAAGAACTTTCCGTGTATGAAGTCAGAGGATGAAGCAATTTTGGACCAGAATCGTTTAGGTGCAACCATTAAAAGAAAACGCTGCGGGTCAGAACCGGGTGCTGGTCGCATCAGAACCGGACTCCGGCCCAAACCAACAAACGTTTTCTCGTTCTGCTCCATCTGACTGAAACATTCTGAAACATGCAGCATGTGCAGCGACACACACAACGCTGCAGTCGGGTCAGTTGAAGAGTTTCCCTCAGGAATTATCTGCTAGTTGCAGAACCAACGTCACACAGAACCGAGGAGCAACGGAGCAACGAAGAGACACTCAGAGGTCGATACTGAAGACAAGAATCGGACCGAAGAGAGACAAGCTGGTACTCTCCACACAGAGACAGGAAAACAGACGAACACCAGATTGAAACGACTCTAAACCTTTAAGAAGAGACTGTAAACTGGATGTGAAGAGTTTCTACCAGCCAGCCTCCATCTGGTTGGTCAGAGCATCTTCATCTCAACTGGAACCAAACCAGTCTGATCCCAACCCCTCCTCTTCCTCACATCCAAACTAATCAAATCAGATCAATTGGTTTAATAATCCAGCAGGTCGTTGCAGCAGCAGCTGAGCTCGGCTTCAGCAGGACAAACCCAAACTGCAGCTCCAGTGTGTGTGTGAGGTGTGTGTGAGGTGTGTGTCTCTGTGTGTGTCTCTGTGTGTGTGAGGTGTGTGTGAGGTGTGTGTGAGGTGTGTGTGAGGTGTGTGTGAGGTGTGTGTCTCTGTGTGTGTCTCTGTGTGTGAGGTTTGTGTGAGGTGTGTGTGAGGTGTGTGTGAGGTGTGTGTGAGGTGTGTGTGAGGTGTGTGTGAGGTGTGTGTCTCTGTGTGTGTCTCTGTGTGTGTCTCTGTGTGTGTGAGGTGTGTGTGAGGTGGTGTGAGGTGTGTGTGAGGTGTGCCTGTCGATACTTTGATGTCCTGGGATTCCAGCCAATCGACTCGATGAAGATGAGCGTCTGTGAGGAAGATGATTTCCACAGAGAAACATGCAGCAATATCCAGCTGTGTGTGTGAGAGATGCAGGTGAGGATGAGGAGGTGAGGAAGGTGACTCACATGGTGGAGAGCGAGTGCAGGGTGGCGAAGGCCCCCGGGGCGATGCTGGAGATCCGGTTGTCGTAGAGGGAGAGGAGGCGCACCGAGCTCAGGCCGCTGAAGGTGCCATTATCGATGCAGCTGATCTGGTTGCTGCGCAGCATGCTGCACACACACACACACACAGAGACACACACACACACAGAGACACACACAAACACGCACGCACGCACACACACACACACACACAGAGACACACACACACACACACACACACAGAGACACACACACACACACGCACGCACACACACACAGAGACACACACACACGCACGCACACACACACACACAGAGACACACACACCACACATACACAGAGACACACACACACACAGAGACACACACAAACACGCACGCACGCACACACACACACACACAGAGACACACACACACACACAGAGACACACACACACACGCACGCACACATACACACACAGAGAGACACACACACACACACACATACACACACACACACAGAGACACACACACACAGAGACACACACAAACACGCACGCACGCACACACACACACACACACAGAGACACACACACACACACAGAGACACACACACACACACAGACACACATACACACACACACACAGAGACACACACACACACGCACGCACACACACACACACACACACACACACACAGAGAAACACACACACACACACACACAGAGACACACACACACACAGAGACACACACACACACACGCACGCACACACACACACAGAGACACACACACACACAGAGACACACACACACACACGCACTCACACATACACACACACACACAGAGACACACACAGACACACATACACACACACACACAGAGACACACACACACACACACGCACACACACACACACACACACACAGAGACATACACACACAGAGAAACACACACACACACACACACACACACGCACGCACACACGCACACACACACACACACACACAGTTTAAAAAACCACTTCATCAGATTTTTCTACAGATCATTTCTAACATAAATAATTATATTTTCATAATTTATTAGACATTAAAATTATTTCCCTGTGGGAATAATCCCTGATCAGATTAAATTGATCAGGGATTTAAAATAATCCCTGATCATTTTAATCTGTGATCAATCTCCCAGCATTCCTTGCTCTCAGATTTCCTCGTCTCTCATTGGCTGACGTTTCAAATCTTCCCCAACAGAAAAAGAATTTCACATGTGAAACCAGGAACCGCATAAGAGATGCACAGGTGGACTTCAGGATCTGAAATGACGTAAACTGCTTGTGTGGGAAAAAAAAGATTTTTCATCAGTTTGAAAGGCTAATAAATAGATTCATAAAGATAAACGTAAAGATATTAATCATTTGAACATGTTTCCATTAGGTTTATAAATGACATAGTTGCAGTTTTCTGTATAAATGACTGTTTTTCTTTATTTCAGTTAATGAAACGTTTTTGCTACGTCAGTTTTTGTTGGTTTTATTTAACTGTAATAACATTGTGTTGGTGACTTTGTGATGAAGAATCGATCCAGCGTTTCCCTCGTTTCTGACTGCCAGTAATTATTTCACTGAAATGATTCAGGACAGAAGATTTGATCTGAGATGATGTCATCCTGGACAGGAAGCGCGCTGCCGGCCATGTCGGCCCGGAACATGACATCATCAGGAAGCGTAAGTGAGTTAGTTAGCATTAGCAATCTCTGGACAGGCTAACCAGGTTAGCGGGGCTATTACTGGAGCAGGAGCCTCTTAACATAATACAGAGACCGCCATGATGGCATTAGGGACTCATTAGTGTGTGTATATGTACATGATAGCATTACAGTGTGTCACACACACACCCACACCCACCTACCCCCCTCCACCCCTCCCCCCCCCCACACACACACACACTCTGGTCTTAATTGGACGGTGTGTGTCAGGCGTGTCCCTCTGGTTTCTGTTTCTGTTCTTCCTGTGAGGACAGGAGCTGCTGAAGGAAATTAACAAAAATGGCTGAAAGGAAACATAAAATATTTTCAAATCTAAGCCATTTTATTTAGGGGCCCACCAATTTATTGGTATTGATCTCCATAATTTTGGTGATCGGTGGATTTTCACATGTGAAGCCAATCTTATCCACCGATCTTATGAAGCTTCCCAAAGGTCTAAGAAACAAGAAGTGTGCTCCTCTGCTCTCTGGTGAGAAAGGCTTGACTGGCAGACCGCTCCGCCATAACTATAGCATAACTATAGCATAACTATAGAATAACTATAGCATAACTATAGCATAACTATAGAATAACTATAGCATAACTATAGAATAACTATAGCATAACTATAGAATAACTATAGCATAACTATAGCATAACTATAGAATAACTATAGCATAACTATAGCATAACTATAGAATAACTATAGCATAACTATAGAATAACTATAGCATAACTATAGCATAACTATAGAATAACTATAGAATAACTATAGCATAACTATAGCATAACTATAGAATAACTATAGAATAACTATAGCATAACTATAGAATAACTATAGCATAACTATAGAATAACTATAGAATAACTATAGAATAACTATAGCATAACTATAGAATAACTATAGAATAACTATAGCATAACTATAGAATAACTATAGCATAACTATAGCATAACTATAGCATAACTATAGCATAACTATAGAATAACTATAGCATAACTATAGAATAACTATAGCATAACTATAGCATAACTATAGAATAACTATAGCATAACTATAGAATAACTATAGCATAACTATAGCATAACTATAGAATAACTATAGAATAACTATAGCATAACTATAGCATAACTATAGAATAACTATAGAATAACTATAGCATAACTATAGCATAACTATAGAATAACTATAGCATAACTATAGAATAACTATAGAATAACTATAGAATAACTATAGCATAACTATAGAATAACTATAGAATAACTATAGCATAACTATAGAATAACTATAGCATAACTATAGAATAACTATAGAATAACTATAGAATAACTATAGCATAACTATAGAATAACTATAGAATAACTATAGCATAACTATAGAATAACTATAGCATAACTATAGCATAACTATAGAATAACTATAGCATAACTATAGCATAACTATAGCATAACTATAGCATAACTATAGAATAACTATAGCATAACTATAGCATAACTATAGAATAACTATAGCATAACTATAGAATAACTATAGCATAACTATAGCATAACTATAGAATAACTATAGAATAACTATAGCATAACTATAGAATAACTATAGAATAACTATAGAATAACTATAGCATAACTATAGAATAACTATAGCATAACTATAGCATAACTATAGAATAACTATAGCATAACTATAGAATAACTATAGCATAACTATAGAATAACTATAGCATAACTATAGAATAACTATAGCATAACTATAGAATAACTATAGCATAACTATAGCATAACTATAGCATAACTATAGCATAACTATAGAATAACTATAGCATAACTATAGCATAACTATAGAATAACTATAGAATAACTATAGCATAACTATAGAATAACTATAGCATAACTATAGAATAACTATAGAATAACTATAGAATAACTATAGCATAACTATAGAATAACTATAGAATAACTATAGAATAACTATAGCATAACTATAGAATAACTATATAGAATAACTATAGCATAACTATAGCATAACTATAGAATAACTATAGCATAACTATAGAATAACTATAGAATAACTATAGCATAACTATAGAATAACTATAGCATAACTATAGCATAACTATAGAATAACTATAGAATAACTTAGCATAACTATAGAATAACTATAGAATAACTATAGCATAACTATAGAAATAACTATAGCATAACTATAGAATAACTATAGCATAACTATAGAATAACTATAGCATAACTATAGAATAACTATAGCATAACTATAGAATAACTATAGAATAACTATAGCATAACTATAGAATAACTTAGCATAACTATAGCATAACTATAGAATAACTATAGCATAACTATAGATAACTATAGCATAACTATAGAATAACTATAGCATAACTATAGCATAACTATAGAATAACTATAGCATAACTATAGCATAACTATAGAAACTATAGCATAACTATAGAATAATATAGAATATATAGCATAACTATAGCATAACTATAGCATAACTATAGAATAACTATAGCATAACTATAGAATAACTATAGCATAATTATAGCAAACTATAGATAACTATAGCATAACTATAGAATAACTATAGCATAACTATAGCATAACTATAGCATAACTATAGAATAACTATAGCATAACTATAGAAAACTATAGAATAAACTTAGCATAACTATAGAATAACTATAGCATAACTATAGAATAACTATAGAATAACTATAGCATAACTATAGAATAACTAGCATAACTATAGAATAACTATAGCATAACTATGCATAACTATAGAATAACTATAGCATAACTATAGCATAACTATAGCATAACTATAGCATAACTATAGAATAACTATAGAATAACTATAGCTAAACTATAGCATAACTATAGCATAACTATAGAATAACTATAGCATAACTATAGAATAACTATAGCATAATTATAGCATAACTATAGAATAACTATAGCATAACTATAGAATAACTATAGCATAACTATAGCATAACTATAGCATAACTATAGAATAACTATAGCATAACTATAGAATAACTATAGCATAACTATAGAATAACTATAGCATAACTATAGAAACTATAGCATAACTATAGAATAACTATAGCATAACTATAGAATACTATAGAATAACTATAGAATAACTATAGCATAACTATAGAATAACTATAGAATAACTATAGAATAACTATAGCATAACTATAGAATAACTATAGAATAACTATAGCATAACTATAGCATAACTATAGAATAACTATAGCATAACTATAGAATAACTATAGAATAACTATAGCATAACTATAGAATAACTATAGCATAACTATAGCATAACTATAGAATAACTATAGCATAACTATAGAATAACTATAGAATAACATAGCATAACTATAGAATAACTATAGCATAACTATAGAATAACTATAGCATAACTATAGAATAACTATAGCATAACTATAGAATAACTATAGCATAACTATAGAATAACTATAGAATAACTATAGCATAACTATAGAATAACTATAGCATAACTATAGCATAACTATAGAATAACTATAGCATAACTATAGAATAACTATAGCATAACTATAGAATAACTATAGCATAACTATAGCATAACTATAGAATAACTATAGCATAACTATAGCATAACTATAGCATAACTATAGCATAACTATAGAATAACTATAGAATAACTATAGCATAAACTATAGCATAACTATAGCATAACTATAGAATAACTATAGCATAACTATAGAATAACTATAGCATAATTATAGCATAACTATAGAATAACTATAGCATAACTATAGAATAACTATAGCATAACTATAGCATAACTATAGCATAACTATAGAATAACTATAGCATAACTATAGAATAACTATAGAATAACTATAGCATAACTATAGAATAACTATAGCATAACTATAGAATAACTATAGAATAAACTATAGCATAACTATAGAATAACTATAGCATAACTATAGAATAACTATAGCATAACTATAGCATAACTATAGCATAACTATAGCATAAACTATAGAATAACTATAGAATAACTATAGCATAACTATAGCATAACTATAGCATAACTATAGAATAACTATAGCATAAACTATAGAATAACTATAGCATAACTATAGCATAACTATAGAATAACTATAGCATAACTATAGCATAACTATAGCATAACTATAGAATAACTATAGAATAACTATAGAATAACTATAGCATAACTATAGCATAACTATAGCATAACTATAGAATAACTATAGAATAACTATAGCATAACTATAGAATAACTATAGCATAACTATAGCATAACTATAGCATAACTATAGCATAACTATAGAATAACTATAGAATAACTATAGAATAACTATAGCATAACTATAGAATAACTATAGAATAACTATAGAATAACTATAGAATAACTATAGCATAACTATAGCATAACTATAAATAACTATAGCATAACTATAGAATAAACTATAGCATAACTATAGAATAACTATAGCATAATTATAGCATAACTATAGAATAACTATAGCATAACTATAGAATAACTATAGCATAACTATAGCATAACTATAGCATAACTATAGAATAACTATAGCATAACTATAGAATAACTATAGAATAACTATAGCATAACTATAGAATAACTATAGCATAACTATAGCATAACTATAGCATAACTATAGAATAACTATAGCATAACTATAGAATAACTATAGAATAACTATAGCATAACTATAGCATAACTATAGCATAACTATAGAATAACTATAGAATAACTATAGCATAACTATAGCATAACTATAGCATAACTATAGAATAACTATAGCATAACTATAGAATAACTATAGAATAACTATAGAATAACTATAGAATAACTATAGCATAACTATAGCATAACTATAGAATAACTATAGCATAACTATAGAATAACTATAGAATAACTATAGCATAACTATAGCATAACTATAGCATAACTATAGAATAACTATAGAATAACTATAGCATAACTATAGCATAACTATAGCATAACTATAGAATAACTATAGAATAACTATAGCGACCCTAGTGTCTTGCTATATTGAGCAACATTTCAGACGAACAAACTGGGATCAGCTCAAGCTTTTTAAAAGATCGATAATCAGCGATCGGCCAGAAAACTAATCGGTGCACCTCTAATTTCATTCCTAATATAGTTTGATATTCAGTGTCAACAACTTTAGTCAATTGTATAAAAATGTTTTTACTAGAAAAAGTTTCATAAAATATAAAATTTGAAGCTAAAACTGATTTTTAATAAAAAGCTTTTTTTTTAATATATAAATGCTGTGCATTAATAACCAGGCGGACACGCCCAGATCCCACTGCCAGCTGCAATGCATTATGGGCCTTGTAGTTTTGTCCCGCAGAATAAAAACTGGCAGAAACACAAGAGAAGAACAAACAGAACCAGACGGAAAAATCAGCCAGTAAATGAAACGGATGAGACGGTAAAGAGTCGATGTGGAGAAATGGAGTTCTGGTTCCAGAACCAGAGATGAAAAATCAATGGTTTTGTCATCTCTGGTTCTGTTCTGGTTCTGCTCTCTTCCTGCAGCTGCTCCGTCTCTGAAACCGGGTCTGGGTTCTTTCCATGTCAGCCGGCCCGTTTTAACCCAGAAAGCACAGCCAGTTCTTCCTAATAAAAGCTAACGATTTAATCGTCGCCTGCAGGGAAAGTCCCCACTTTGAGGCAGAAAACAGATTTACTGCCGCCCCGCCACCCGGAGCGGTTCGGTAACTCACAGGGTCTTGAGGCCGCTGAGGCCCCGGAACATGCGGCCCTGCAGCGCGGTGAGCTTGTTCCCGGTCAGCAGCAGCTCCAGGACGCCGGCGGCGCCGTCGAAGGCGCCCTCTCTCACATCCCTCAGCTTGTTGTTGCTCAGGTTTCTGGGGAAGAACCAGAACATCAGCAGAACATCTGCCTCTGATTGCAGCAATTAGTCACGTCCCTCCATCAACGTCTCTCATCGAGAAAGAAACGTCCTTTTCTTTCACGAGATAACACAGAAACCTGCAGACATCAAACACTCGAAACTGGAGGCAGGAGAGGGTGCAGTGATGAGCCGGGCCAGGCCGCGGGGAGGCCTGCTAGTGTTAGCGTCCGCTAGCTAACGTCTGCTAGCGTTAGCGTCTGCTAGCTAACATATGCTATAACGTTAGCTAACATCTGCTAGCTAACGTTAGCTAACGTATACTATAACGTTAGCTAACATCTGCTAGCTAACGTCTGCTAGCTAACGTTTGCTAATGTCTGCTAGCTAATGTGTGCTATAACGTTAGCAGACGTCTAATAACGTTAGCGGACGTCGCTAGCTAGCGGACTTTGTTAGCTAGTGACGTTCTATGAAAGCCACCGGCGGCCATGACAGCAGCTCAGAGCAGCTTTTGGCAGCTGGCTGTGATTCTGCTCATCAGAAAGGAGCGGAACATTCAGGGTAGGAAAAGAATAAAAAAGATGTCAGACAGATATGAAGTCAGCTGCATTAAAGCAAAGCAAACGCGAAGGAGGCAGAGGAGGAGAAGAATGGAGGAAAATGGAAATGAGAGCAAACCAATCTATATTGTCAGTGATGCTGCTGGATGGTTAGAAATTCCTCTCCAATAAATCAAACACTCGACTCTGCTCCATCTTTCTCCATCTTCTTCTGACACACACACTCTCTGCAGATAAGGACCGACTGCAAACCTGGACTGAAGATCCATTTTGTTTTTCCATTTATTATTTGATCCATTCGACCTTTATTTGAGCTTTTCTGCATCTCCTCCAACCAGCAGCTCTTCCTCCTCTTATGCTCCTTATCATTATGTTTTTATTATTATTTTACGTGTTTTGATCATGATTTCCGTTTTATTGCATAATAATGCTTCAAAATGTCACCTTCAGTTGTTTTAAAATGCTATAAATATCAAATATGACCTAAAGGAAATTTTATTTTGTAATTTAACATAATGAAATTGGGCCTCTGTCTCTTTAAAAACTCCTGGTCTTTCTGAAGCTCCGCCCCCAGGAAGTTGTCCCAACATGGCTTCTCTGTTAGCTCTTTGACGTTTTTACCAGGGTTCCTCTGAGCAGCAGCTCCTATAACGAGTTCCAACATTTGTTTGCTAATTGCTGCTGGCTAGTCTGGAGGAGCTGAGTGGGGGAGGAGCTCCACCTTGAAGGCGGGGCTAGGTCCTGCCAGGCGTTTTGCAGACTGAAGGATTTCTCAAACATGAAAGCTTCAAGTCAAATCTCCAGGTTTGTTTCTGATGATAAAAAAACTTTAGAACATAATGTAAACATGATACCGGCCCTTTAAGACAGTTTTCTCATTACATTTCTTTCCCTGGTCGTGTTGGTGTCACACGGTTCGTTCACCAGCTGACCTGACGCCACAGGACGACGGCTCCGCCCACATGGAGTGTGACGCCGACAGTTTTCTGTCTCATCAGCATGAAGGGAAGGAGGTCAGAGCGAGTCGGCCTGAAGAACCCACGTCAGGTTCCCTCAGCCGCTCAATGTTTCCTTCGAGTCGTAAAGCAGAGCTGAGCCCATTTTGATGCTTTCTGCTCTCCAGTAGCTGATAACTTTCATTGTATTTGTTAAATAACAAGGAACAATATGAAAGCTTAATGATGGTGTCTGCTTAAATATTCTCATTAGTCAGTTTGATGATCAGCAGAAAACAATAATCTGGGTTTTACAGGATTGACGCTGCTTGAATGATCAGGTTCTGGAAGATATTTGTTTTCTATTGATTATTATTTACTATTTCATTTTTTCAATCATTGCTCCTATGCATTTCTTTGCATGGTTGTGTCGGATGACCTCAGTAATTATGAAATGTTTTGAAATGTTTTGATCTGCGTTATTGCGCCAGGTTGTGGGTGGAGCCCTGTTGCCATGGTGGTGTATGGCTCATAAGGAAACTGTTTAGATTTGTAGCTGCAGTTCAGTTATTGATTTGGATGAATTCATTTTTGGTTTAATCGTAAAGCATATGTTGAAATTATGAATAAAATTACAGATATACTTCCATGTAGATGAACAGATATTTTCCAGAAACGAAATAAACTTTATTCCTCCCTCTGAAGTGGATTATTATTGGATCTTCCACACTGACAACGTTTTTCAGATTATTTTGCACCAAATCCATGTTTGTAAACACAAACCTGGAGAACTTTGGTTCCTCTAATTGGTCAGTTGCTGATAAACCCTCTGATTTGATTGGCTGGTCGTCTCATCAATTTAAAAAAAGGCCAAAGGGAAACTTATCCTCATTCAGGATGAAATAATTATTTTATTTTTGATTGATATGATGTGACAATGAGCTAAAAGGACACAGATTCACAAGTTTTAACATTTCAAGTCATAATAATCTGAAAAGTGTGGTGTGCATTTGTATTCATCTTCCTGTAACCTGCTTTGAACGGCTCATCCTAGTGAAGCTGTTGATCTGTTTCATAAAACAAACTGAGTCTCAGTGAAAACGCAGTTCAGATGAGAAGTGTGTTTGGAAATAAACGTACATTTTCTTGAGGTTGGGCAGCTTCCTGAACGTCCCAGCAGCTTCCAGGACAGAGATTTCATTATCGTTTAGCCGCCTGCAGAGAACAGGGCAGAGATGGAAGTTAGATTCATTTATTTTCTGTTTCACATGCAGCGAGGAAACACAGAGCTCTGAACCATGATGCAGCGGGAAACAAAGAACAATGAAGAAAAAAGGAGGAGGAGGAAGAACGATGAATCTTTTCTATGTAGTCATCAATAGCCGCATCGCCCTGAGCCCAGAGAAAACAGCTGGGCAGATAGCAAGCCAGACATCTGCTTTATTGAGGTCATTTGTACTAAAAAGGTGCTAAGAGGACCAACTGTGTGTGTGTTTGTGTGTGTGAGGGTGTGTGTGTGCGTGTCTGTGTGTGTGAGGGTGTGTGTGTTTGTGTGTGTGAGGGTGTGTGTTTGTGTGTGTGTAGGTGTGTGCGTGTTTGTGTGTGTGAGGATGTGTTTGTGTGTGTGAGGGTGTGTGCGTGTCTGTGTCTGTTCCTGTGTAGAGGACACGCCTCTTCCTGTCCGTTGTTCTTATAAAGTCCAGTTCGGTTGGTGAGGTGTGAACGCTAATTGACCTCTGACCTCTGCTCCTCCAAACCTCAGTCTGGGTTCGGTTGACGTGAACTCAGTTTGAATGTGACCGCCAAGTGGACTGAAGACCGCTCCAAAAGCAGGAAGTGGACTACAGTGCAGGGCATTCTGGGTAAATACAACCAGAGCTAACATGCTAGCCTAGCGCTAGCAGCAGAAATGGCTCCTGGTCTTCAGCCAAAGACTAAAGAGAAATCACTAAACTCTGACGCCTCCATCTTGTCTCATCTGGTGAAACAGGAAGTTGCTCTCAGCATCTTCAGAGGTTTTAGTGTCGTTTCCTTCAATGGTTCTAGGTGCAGCGCCCCCACAGGCCAGGAGGGGAACAGGCTGGTTTGACTCAGAACCATAGGAGCTGGAGGTGGAGCAGATGGTGGAGTTCTGGTTCCAGTAGAACCGGGTCGACCGGACCATCAGGTAGTAAGCAGCACAAAATGTCACAAGAAAAAAACAAAATAAAAGTAAATCCAAGTTAGACAGCATGATGCCATACTTAACAGTTAGGATGTCGCTTCTGGCTTATAGGTGTAGCCACGGTCATTTTGTCCATCAGACCTCAGAGCGTCTCCAGAAATGTCTACAAACTCTTTATGTTCTTATAGGAGAGCTCTATTCCTCCAGATGTAGCAGCACTATTAACATTTATTATCAGTTTCTATCAGTAGAAGAATATTCTACAGATATGACATCATGTCAGATCTGATGTCTGACATGATGTCAGATCGTAAGGCCGACGTCGAAAGCCTGACGTCTGCAGGCTTTCGATTGCAGACGTTTTTGGTTTCTTACAGGTCGGTGGTGTGTTCAGGGATGTGCGGAGGAATCCGAGTCAGTTTGAGGTTGGAGCAGTCCACCACGGTGCCTTCACAGCGACATCTCTCTGGACACACTAGATCCTGGAAACACTCCCCACTCAGCCGGCTGCGGTAGTCCTCCTGACCTGCAGGGGGCAAGTGACAGTGGAGGACACAGAAACAGAGAGAAGGAAGAGGGGAGAGACATTAAAACCAGCAAGAAGATGGAGAAAAACCCCCATCAAACTGAGGAGAAAGCTGTGGGTTCAAAATGTTAATACAAAACATTCAGAAACTTTAAAAAATAATTCATGTTTTACGGAGAAACATGAACATCCAGCAGACACACGACCTTCAACCCGGAGGAGTTCACCTCTGTTATTAAACAAGTCTGATTTAATGAGGAATGTGTTTGAGAGCAGCATGACCAGTGATAACAGGAAGTGGTACTGAACTAACAGGAAGTGATACTGTGCTAACAGGAAGTAGTACATTAATAAAAGGAAGTTGTGCTGTGCTAAGAGGAAGTGGTGCTATGCTTATAAGAAATGGTGCTGTGCTAAAAGGAAGTGGTGCTATGCTAATAAGAAATGGTGCTGTGCTAACAGGAAGTGCTACTGTATTAACAGAAAGTGGTACTGTGCTAATAGGAAGTGGTGCTGTGCTAAAAGGAAGTGATGCTATGCTAAAAGGAAGTGGTGCTATGCTAACAGGAAGTGGTACTGTATTAACAGGAAGTGGTACTGTGCTAACAGGGAGTGGTGCTGTACTAAAAGGAAGTGGTGCTATGCTAACAGGAAGTGGTACTGTACTAACAGGAAGTGGTACTATGCTAACAGGAAGTGGTACTGTGCTAACAGGAAGTGGTGCTATGCTAAGAGGAAGTGAAGGAGCAGAAAACAGAAAGCAGGAGTCAAACTGACAGCTGGTAGAAAAATGCAAAAAATATATTTAAAAATTTTTAAGGGGAAAAAAACACATTAAAATAAAAATCTCCACCTGCAATCAGCTCTGTAAAATTTTACCGGCAGTTTGCGCTGAAATTTGGAATATTTGATGTCAGATTATGATTGTGAAACAAAGATAAAGCAAAACGTTCTCACGGCGTCAGAGGAGTCAGAGCCAAACCCCTACAGGCTCCGAGGCGTGATTGGCCAGGAGAGGCATGTGGGCGTGTGCCGCGCGGTCCCTGGCGCTTGATGGAACCATGTGATGTCACAGTAGGCGGGGCCACATGGTTAGATCAAGCACAAGAGACAGCTGCAGAACCAATCAGAATGAAGGTCCACACAGGAGGAAGGCGGGGCGACAGAGAGCTGCGCCAGTCAGTCAGGGGAGAGCGGGCAGAGAAAGGTCAGGGGTCAAGAGGAGGAGGAGGCAGCGGCGGGAGGGGAGCACAGGAAGGAGAAGCGACAGACAGGAAGAGCTGAAGCAGAGGCCGCCGCCTCCAACAGGGCGTGGCAGGGGGCGGAGCTACACACGGCGTTTAGTGAGAACCACAGCAGTCGGGAATTTAAAACCTGGGAACAACAATGGGAACGTGACGGGGAACAACTCTCTGACAAGACATGAGTCGGACACAGATCTGAAACAGCGCCGCCCTGCTGGCAGGAGAACATGCAGCATCTCTTTAAGAGGCTGGAGGCGGAGGAAACGACAGAAATGATTTCATGTCTGAAAGTCTTCCTGTCAGACTTCCTGTCAATGCAACACATGGATCTCACAATAAAGAAGCAAAGCAGGTCATTTAGTGATAAAATGGATTTTTTCCCATCTGTCATCTCCAGCTCAGGCAGACTGGATGGAGAACATCAGCTTTTCATTATTTCTCATTTCTATTCAGGTCAGGACTTTGACTGGGCCGTTCTAACACCTGAATCTGCTCTGATCTAATCCAGACGTCTGTAGCCGTTAGCCTGCAGAGTCCAGCTAAGTAAACCTTTAGATCAGTGTTTCTCAACCTTTTTTGGGCCAGCGCCCCCTGTCCATTATTATCACGCCGCATGAAAGAAGATTATTTGTTATTAAATTCACTCTCACTATTGTTGATGTTTTGATTTTTATGGTTCATGTATTTATCATAAAAAATAATTTCCCAGAGAACAAAAAAGTCACATGAATAGAAATTAATTTTACAGGTGTCTCATAAAAATGCAATGAATGAACAAATAAAGTTAAAATGAGCAGCCAATCAGAGTGGAGAAATATTCTTGTTCTGAAACATTTTCTATTGTTAAATGTTGCACAAAATGACCAGATAAAAGTTGTTCAACCTGTTTAAACTTTGATCTATTTGCAAACAGACTGAACTCTGCAACATTAAAACATGGACAGTTTCATCAATCTTCTTCTCTTCAGTGGTTCTGTCAGGTTCTGCTGCTGCAGCTCCGTGCTGCCTTCAGGAGCATGGGACATCAGAGTATCATCCAAAGAATTTCACCCACATGGCATTAATGTGCAAACCAGAGTTTTCAGTGGAAAAACAAAAGATCCAGATCATTTTAATGCCACACAAACATGGGACAGAACCATGGATTATATCTTTAAATAGACCAGACTATTAGTTTATTGATTAATAGTTTTACTGGACAGAAATTATACAGAACAAAGCTGGTTCTTAAATCCAAATGAGTCAGACTGAAAGTCACTGAACAGCCTCATGACATTAACACTGGCATGAAAAATAATATGGAATGAATATATAAGATAAAATCTAATTAAAAGCATAATTGTCATTGTTTGTAAAATATATTTATTCTTAGTACTAGTCATTGTCTCAAACCTTGTATTCTTGCCATACAGTCCTCTGTGTTCATTATTGCTCGAAAGGTCTTGCCATACCAGTTTATTCCTCTGTCTTTAGTTTCTTAGTTTATTCTTTTATTTTGTTCTTCATTCGTTTCCATTTAGTTTTCTTGGATTTGTTTTATGCTCTCTTGGTTTATTGCTGTCTTCTTTAGTTTCTTTGCTGTTGGTGGTTTAATTTTATTGTTTGTATTGACCACCAGTCATCTTTCCTCATCATGTCGATCACCTGCTGCGCCGCCTCATCATCACCTGTTTCACCTGATTTGCCCTCATATTGATTTTTCACTGGATTCTCTGATCCTGATTCACATCGTTGCTCCGTTCTACATCCTGGTTTTCTGTTTCTGAGTCTTTTTTTCCCCTTTACCCCCTGCGGTGTGGGGCGGTCGAGGAGCGTATCGATGGAGAAAAGCAGACTGTCGTAAACCTTTTAGCGCCAGGATTCTGATGATTAAAATCAGAATCTGTGTTGCTACCATTTCATACCAGATCACCTACGGCGCCGATGTTAGCTCTAAAAAATGACCAGACAAGTGAATCACAGCGCCGTCATCAGCCGGTGTGACACTGAACTGATGCGGTGAAGCTACCAGTAGCAGGAGAAGCTAAACACTAAAGAGAAGGAGAGCTGCTGTCGATGCAGCTGCAGCCTGACATGTTTTAATGTTACACAATACAGTTTTAACAGTTTTTGCTCAAAGTCTAAACCAGTATTGTTGTGGATTTCAAGTGTAACGTTTACCTTGGAGCAAACGGCCCCCAAAGGAATCCCAGCGCCCCCTGCTGTCTTCTGGACGCCCCCCAGGGGGCGGTACCGCACCCGGGGGGGCGGTACCGCCCCGTTGAGAAACGCTACTTTAGAATAAAGATGTATTTTTTAAATATATATTTTTAAATCCTAATTTCTTCTAAATTTCTTTCCATCAGATGTTGATATTGATGATAAGATTTTGCAATATTGTCATTGTTAATGTCAAAATAGATGTTAAAAAGTTACATCTTCATTGGTGGAAATTAAATGCAATTATTTCTCAAAATACATCAGTCTAATTATTAAAAAATTGTTAGTTTTTCCATAATTTTTAGAGTCTCAGGTTTGCTGCAGCCTTCAACAGGTTTTCTGTAGTCTGATAAACAATCCCATTTGATCACCTGACTGTGTTTAACCATATTTTCAAATGTATTGATATTTATAGATGCTTTCTTTGAATAAACAGAAGAGAAAATAGTCAAATTAAAAATCAGATAACAAGAATAATTTTCTAATTCTGTCTAAACATCATTATAATAACAATGAGTTAACCTTCTTCTCGTGATAAGAAGAACTAAACGATAAAAGATTAATGATAAATATCTGGTCCTAGACGAAACCCAAATGAAACATGTCTGTGTCAGGAGGGATCCACAGGGAGGATGACCCCCGACCCCTGAAGAGCAGAGTGCGGCGCTCACCTGTGCACCTGAACTTCTTGCCTTTGACCTGGCTGATGCGTTTGTTGGCCAGCCGGCGCGGGTGGCTGCAGCGCGCGCCGCTGGTCTCGATGGGATTATCGAACAGGAAGTCAGCCAACCACTTCAGGTGACAGTCGCACATGAAGGGATTCTGGGCCAGGTGGCTGGAGACACACAGGATGATAACAACAATAATGATAACACTGCTGATTTGTGAACAACATTACTGTAAATATACTCCAAATATGGATTCAAAAATAAACCTTAAGGCATCTTGCAGGATGTTTTGCACATTTCCCATCATTTACTGTAATTTAAGAATTACACCATTGTTCAAGGTGGATGCCATTTTAGAATCCTTTCAGCCAATTATTGCCATAAAATGTTCCCCATTTTAATGACCTGAATAAACTTTATGTCACATCAAATATTTTCCAGTTTGGTCGTAATGTTCATAAAATGGTGATGTGATCAAATGAAGCAGAATCTCCCTATGAGTAGTATGGTATTATATCAATGTAATTTTAATAACACCAAGATTAGGGTAAAAGATAGATACCTGATTAAGATTCTGTTAATAGCAGGTAAGAAAGCGATCATGTGGGGGAAAGAGGACCCCCCGTGCCAAGAACAATGGACTGGAATAGTGGAAGAAATTTATATCGTAGAAAAACTAACACACAGATTGAGACTGCAACAAGAACAAATGGAAGAAAAATGGACAAAATGGAGTATATTCAGGACAACAGAGAGCGGCAAAAGTGGATAAAGGCCTATGAAACGAGAGACAATAAGGTAATAATGAGTACAAGCCCCCGAGCAACAGTTTTGGTTTCTTTTTATTTTTGGTAGAGGTGGATGTGATGTGTTCAAGTTCATTGTATATGTAAATAAATGTAAAAATTTTCAATAAAAAGTTAAATGTTATAAAAAAAATGAAGCAGAATCAGAAACTGAGGACTTTACTGCGAATCTCAGATCAGTCGTCAACTGGAAGAAGATGATACAATCGTCTTAATGGTTAGCATTAGCTTCTGCTAATGTTTTTATATGTTTAGCTTTAACTTCAACTAATGCTTTTCTGTTTAGTGGTAGCTTTAGCCTAGCTAAGATTCTTGTCTGGCAAATTGGCTACTAGTGAAGCTAATGTGGTTAGTTGTGGCCACGGATGGTATAAAATACAGCCAGTTTTAGTGCAGACATCTATTCTCCATTACAACCATGGTGGCCATTTTGTAAAATGTCCACCAGACCAACAAAATATGTATGATTTATGTGGTTTAAAACATGTAGGCTATGACTTGACACTAAACACATTCAACTAATTTACTGTTTCAGTGCAAAAATTACCTTTCCATGACAACCATGGTGGCCATCTTGGAAAATCTAAATATTATCACTAAGTACAATTTCTATAGGTCCAATAAAGTATGATTCGACACCAAAAGTATTTATCTGTGATAAATATTGGGAGCTTTTGTTCAAAAATACATTGTTTTGACAACCATGGCGGCCATCTTGAACTTACAGAGTCTTGATGGAGCGAAGCGGGTCGAAGAGGCCTTTACTGATGCTCTGCAGCTTGTTGTCATACAGAGACAGGAGGTTCAGGTTCTGCAGGTCCTGGAAGGCATTCACTCTCAAACAGTTGATCTTGTTGGCGTTCAGTAATCTGAAACACAAACAGTCAAGAAAAGAAGCAGAACATTATGACCACTGAAGGTCAGCTGTGGAGTCCAATATGGTGACAGGAGGTGCAGGAAGCTGTTAGGAGAGGATCAGTTTGATTTTAAAAAGTGCAATGTACTAAATGATGCAGCGTTGAAACATGAGCCTTGCATCGTTTTCTCTTCTCTTTATGTAACTTTATTTAGCATCATTTACTCTTGAATTTATTTAATATGATGAAAACATGACTTTCTTTTTAATCTTTTTTTTCTCCAAAGAGTTTTTGCGGCGCTAGTGGCTCCTATTTTTGACAGTAGGCAGACAGAAAAGAGGGTGATGAGGGAGGGAAAGACGTGGCAAAGGTCGCCGGGACCGGGAGTCGAACCCGCGATGTCCGTGTCAAGGACTGAGGCCTCCAAACGTGGGGCGTGCTGACCCCCTGCACCACCACAGCATGCAGAAAACAGGACTTTTGAAAATAAATCACCTTCTTTTTCAATTCATGTCAGGTTAAATAACCCAAATCACTGCTATTCATTTTTAACTGTGTAGTTTAAAAAACAAAACAAGCCGAGTATTTCATTGTTTGACTCGATCTCTGTTTTCTTACATCCTGATTTTCATTTGCATTTCCACCTTGCATCTCTCTCCTTCTCTGCTCCGGTGTTGTGAAGCTAAAATGCTAAAAATATTTCAGTTTCCTGAAGACTCACAGTAGCTGCAGGGAAGAAAGTCCATCAAATATTCCTTTTGGTAGCTCAGCGATCTTGTTGCCGTAAAGAACCCTGTGAGGGTCAAACAAAGACACAAACTCAGCATCATGTGAAACTCCTTTATTCAGCGACTTCCTGACTGCTTTTTTTGTCCTGCATGTTAGAACGCTTGACGAACTTACAGTGAAGTGAGCGACCGCAGTCCGCTGAAGGCGTCCGCCGCCACGTCGGAGATCTGGTTCTTGCTCAGGTCTCTGTGGACAGAATGAGAGTACGGAAAAAATCGCTAATGGGATTCAACTTGCCAGACAAACGATCAGAAACATGAAAAACGACTAATCAGGAGGAAAAACAGACAGCGACGAAAGGAAGAAGAGAGTCTTAAAATTTGAAGAGACAGCTGAGAAAACAGGTAGAAAGAGGAAAATCAACTGATCCATATGGATCATTATAATGTGTGTGTGTGTTTTTGTCTGGCTATGTGGTTTAACGTGCCTGATGATTTCAATAAATACTCACATTACCGGGACCAATGCCAATGTTGGCATAATTCATGGAGTGTATTTGAAATTTTTGGTATCTAAACAAAACTTTGTCTTGTGTGTATGTGTGCGTTTACTCACATTCTCTTCAGCTTCTTATAGGCTGTAAACGCTCCTGGCGGGACGCTTTTGATCAGGTTCTGCTCCAAACGGCTTCAGGAAGAAAAACATCAGTCAGAGAATCCCTGGTCGGCTTTACAGGGTGAACTTTCTTCGCATAAAAATAGCAAAACAACAGATATTTGTTTCTGTATTACCGTAAGCAAGGAATATGTTTCAAAAATTTAAAATGTTTATTTTTGTTTTATTGATTGAGAAATAAAAGTTTTGTTTTTGAAATAAATCTTTTTCGATTTTTTTTTTGTTTGCTTGTGAAAATATTGAATCAAATCTTCAATTTAGCACAACGTGAACATAGCAACAGTCTTTTCCAGCGTCCAATCAGATCGGTTTGAAGCAGAAATCAACTGAGAGAAGCAGCTTCCATGGCTACTGTAAGCAGATGAAGCTGTGTGGCATATTTACAGACGTACCAGAAACACATCAATACAAAGGTTCCCAGTTGTTTTCTTTGTATGAAAAATAAATGTAGTTAGTTGAGTTACTTTCAGTTGGTCAAACTGGGGATGACAGAACTCTGCAGGTTCACCTGGTCTTCACAGCAACCATTAAACTTTCCTACCATCACAAACAAATTCTCCTGGGACTTCAACTAGACCAGCACAAATAAACAACAATGGCAAATGCTGCAATGGTTCTGTTCCATAATAATTATTAGAACATTTTTTCAATTTTATTAGTTTTAGCTGAAGTCAAACTACCAACCACACTAAAAGTTCAGCTCAGCTAGGTTTTCAACATTTCATTGAAGATTTAGCTTTAAATTTCTACATTTTAATTTCAATAAATCTCTGAATGTTATCAGAGAGGAACCAGCTTCACTGCTATCATGAACAAAAAAATCATAAAATTTACTCCCGAACATCAAGAGACGAGGATTAAAGGATGTGAAGGTGGGGGAAGAGAAGAGAGGATGGAGGGAAAAAAGGACAGCAAAGGAGAAATTAGAGGAGAGAAAGTGAAGGATGTGGTGAGGTCCCAAGGCCGGCCAGAGGGTCGGCTGTCAGGATGATGAATGGAAACTAATCCAGCCCTCCTCTTCCTCCCCTTCTTCCTCTTCTCTTCACATCCTCCTCCGTCCCTCCTTTTCTCCCTTTATCCATCCATCCATATCTGCCTCCTTTCTATCAGTAATGAAGATAAATTTGAAACTCTGATCTGATTAGAATGAAAAACTAAACATCTTCCTGGATCTGGTTCTGGTTCTGAACTCATTCATATGCCGTTAGTAAACCTGATTTCCATCCAGACTTGAAGGCAACCTTCAAGTCTGGTTCTGACAGAACCAATCAGAACCAAGCCAACCTGAGGAGCCGACTCCTTGCTGAAGGAGAGGCTGAAACGTCTTCAAGGTTTAAAGCAAAATAACCTCAAAACCTCAGAACAAATGAAACAGGAAGTGGGTCACACCTTGATGAAAGCAGAAGCTGATGGAAGCAAGCAATGGCGGCAAATTTAGAGGATGAACACAGAGATTATTGAAGAACTGCCGATACATCAAACTGTTAAACTCTGCTTCTGTCTGTGGCAACAACATTTATCACAACTGCTCCAAACAGAGAGCATGGCCCTGTGAAACGCCTCCGAACACTGCAACATGCTGCAAACAATCCAGAGGGTGGAGCTCTGTGAAATGCCACAAGATGCAGCAAAAAGCTACAAAACACTCCAACCGCTCTAAACAGAGAAACTGTGAAACACCACAAAACACTACAAAATGCTACAAATGCTGCAAAAGAGTAAATTGTAGCAAAACACCATGAAGTGCTGCAAAATGTGGAAAAATGCAGCAAAATGCCACAAAAAAGTTATTCTTTTAACCTAGAATACATCCAAAATGATCACAATAAGTCAAATGACACAAAATAATTTCCAGGCATTTATAATTAGTACCAATAGAAATAAGTTTGTTTTACAAAGAGTATTTTATGTAAAGAAATGTCTGCTAAGTGAGAAAAAATACATTTATGCAGTTGTTTTATATCAATGATCACATTAGGAGTTGTGAAAAGAACTCTGGTAGAAATGTCCTGCAAAGTTTCTCCTTCAGTCACAGAGCAATCAAGCAGCTATCCTCTGCAAACAGGTCGGGGACGCCGGTCGATACGGATATCAAACATGTCCCCTGGTGGAGTGTGTGTGTGTGTGTGTGTGTGTGTGTGTGTGTGTGTGTGTGTGTGTGTGTGTGTGTGTGTGTGTGTGTAACATCAGAATTTCAGGCTTGTATTGATGCATTTGAGACGTTTTTCTTCTATCGTAGTAGTAGCTGTGGGCAACATGGACTTAAAATTTTCATCATGACATTTTTGTGTTAATATTGTGACAATAAAAATGACAATAATAACTATTTAAGACTTCCTTTTTTTTTTTTTTTTTAGAAAACTGTGTTGCTGTAACAAAAATGACAAATGTGCAAAAATTTTTGTCGATATTCCACTAATATCAAACAACAAAATTTCTCACGTGAAAAGTTTGGTTACACAATAAATCATTAAAATTTACACAATGCCTAATCACCACCAACTACTTCCTGTTATTGTCTTTGACGTGGTTTACACCAGTAGCAACATCCTGTATTTGATCATGTGACTCATGATGTGAAAAAAGTGTTTCTGTTGCAGTAAAAATTAAACCAACTTTGATATGCTCAACTAACCACGTCACCCTAGCACCAATAGCTAACCAAAATGTTACCTTTACTCACCCCTATTTCAAACAAAAATCTTAGCTACACTAACGCTAAACTACTGAACACATAGATAAATTAGCAGAAGCTAACACTAACCCAATAAACCAGAGCGAAAACCCAATCAGCTGCAGGGAAAGTGAAGTGAACCCAGGCTAGCTTACATTTCCACAATGCCCTCTGGGAGGTTGGCTGGGATCTCCGTCAGGCCTTTCCGCCGGCAGTCCACGATGTTGTTGTTGCAGCTGCAGCTGGGGGGGCAGACTGCGACTTGAGGTGCACACGCCCTCGGCTCTGTCTGCGCCGGACCTGCAAAAAGCAACGAATAGCCAGTTTCTGCTTCTGTTCCTCATATTTTCAGAAACAGTTATTTGGCACTCAAAGCCAGAAACAAAAAGACTTTTTTGCAGCCTGCAGCGGCGTTTCTACTTCCTGCTGCAACTGAAGTTTTATCCATAATTTCTAATATTTCAGGATATTTCTTTACTACTGGGTCCGTCTCCTTAGAATGAACTTTAATCTCTGGCAGTGGCTGCTGTGTTGTTTTTGAGGCATAAAAAACCTTTTGGGAAAACACGCAATCTCTTTGATTTGAAGAAGGAAGAAACTGAATCTTAATGCTGCTTATTATTTTGCCAAAATATGCACAGAAAATATAAGTGGATATGAGCAAGAAGAGAACGGAGAAAAAGGAAGCAGCTCACATGGAAACAGAATAAAAGGAATAGGCGATAAATACTGAGGAGCTGTGGAGAGTCTTTCATGACATGAAGAAAAACAGATGAGGAGGAATGACGAGATTTTAAATCAATATTTTTCAACGTTCATGTGTTATATTCATGTTTCAATGATAAGCAGTCCTCCCTCTCCAGGTGGCAGCAGAGCTCAAACTAATCAACAGTAACGAACTGACTCGGGCACACCAGGATTTTCAGTGCTGACGGAGAGGTGGTGAAATAAAAAATGGTGGAGGCTTTCTGATTTAACGTTGCTGTGGCCTTAATTTCTGTAACTTTTTCTGAATATGTTTGATTGGTTTCCCCTACATGCCTCCAAAATTCCTCATAACCGTGTGTTATGAGGCTTTCATCTGGAAGCCTCATAACACACGGTTTGTTTGAACGAAAACTAAAGAATTAAATGTTTCTGCCGACTCACCGTTACAGATGAAGTCCTTCTTCTGGACGTCGGGGACGTTGAGGCCCCTCATGTGAGCCGGAGACATGCACTGCGTGAAGGGGGCCAAGCCCCGCCGCGCCCTCAGCCAATCAGAGAGCCAGGCCAGGTGGCAGTCACAGTGGAGGCTGTTGGAGTGCAGACGGCTGCGAAGAAGACGAGGAAGGCGAGAGAGACCGTTAATCTGGACTGGACTAGTAATCTCAATCTGGAGAAATGGAAAAGCTGGGAATGAAAACAGGAAATAATGTGGAAGAATACTAGTTTTCTCTGCTTTTTAAAACAAATTTTACTTTGATTTATGCACAAACATGACTTAAAATTTAGGAAAATATAAAAAATGTCTCTGTTTTATAATTGAACACTGAGCTGCTGTGTGAAGTTTATCTGAACCAGAAAAACAGCTGAGATTTTAAAAAGATTTATTTTACTCCAAAAGCTCACACTGAGAATTCATAAACTCTAATCATGATGATAAATATCGCTCCAGACGTGAGAAAACAAGTTACAGAAATGTTCCAAACTGTAAGTAATGTAAAATACACAAGGCTACAGGTATTTATATAATTAACACGTTGCTGCAGAAAGCATCAGGTGCAGCACAGAGACGAAGAGCAGCAGAAGGAGGAAGAGGAAGAGGAGGAAAAGCAGAATGTGTTGTCAGCGTTTTGTGAGCCAGCCTCTCTTGGCCTATAATAAAGCAGAGGACAAATCCTGTTAAGGAGCAAGAAGCTCGCATTGAAGCTAGCAGCAGGCGGCAGATTTAATACCGCGCCCCATTATAAATCCAGGTTATAGTCACGGCACCGCCTGGAGAAAGCCATGTCCCGGCCCGCCCCCCTACCGAGCCCTAATTACTGACAAGGAGGATTAAAATGACGAAGAACGGATCTGCTTCTGACCGCAGGACGCTTTAACGAGTCCGGATACGGGCTGTCGTAGGTGACACACACACACACAGTCACACACACTCCTTACCTTCATCCTAACCGTAACCAAAACTCAATTCACACCTTAGTCCTAAATCTGACCCCTAGCCCCAAAACAGCGTCCCCAAGCCTGGTCCTCTGGGGACCAGGCTTCGGTCCCACAAGGAGCAGCAGGTCCCCACAGTGTAGCAACTGTGTGTCAGGAAAATGGTCCTCGTAAGGTACTACAAACAAACACGCGCGCACACACACACACACACACACACACACACACACACACACACACACACACACACACACACACACACACACACACACACACACACACACACACACACACACACACACACAGTTGTTTGTTCCTCAAACAGACATCCAGGCAAAACTGATATGTGGTTTAGAAAAAATTAAGTAAAATTCTGAAATAAAAATTTGAAAAGTGTGGTGTGCACATGTATTCAGTGACACCCAAAATAAAATACAGTAGATCAAACCAGGTTTTACAATCTGAAGAGTTTTTGAGCTGTCAGGACAGTCAAATAAATCTCATTTAGAAAAAAAAAGTGTGTGTATGTATGCGTGTGTGTGTGTGTGTGTGTGTGTGTGTGTGTGTGTGTGTGTGTGTGATACTCACAGCGTCCGCAGCTTGGGCATGTGGTTGAAGCTGGACAACGGGATAAGGGTGATGTTGTTGTTGTTGAGGGTGCTGCAGGACAGAGAAGACAGGACAGTGAATAATCACTTGATTTTTATTTTTGATATCTTTAAAACTGTTTGGTTTATTTCATTGAAATAAACAGAACAAGTTTTATTTTATTCAAACTCTTAAGTTTGTTTAACTCCATCAGGTTCAGATTCTGATCCACCAATCAGTTCGGTGGAACTTTATAATTCAATTTATAAAGAAAAATAAAAACAAGGAGTTGACCAATTGTCGTAGAGTAAACTGCTAAAGAGAGGCAAAAACATTAGACATAAATCAGTAAAGATGTTGCATGCAATAAACAAGAATTATTTTCATTTTCAGAGCTGCCATGTTAGATTAAACCAGCATGAACAATGGAAGACAGACTGGAAACTGAAACCGCTGCTGTATGAGGCAAAATGGAAAATACTGCAATAATATTTAGATTTAAATGTTTGGAGGAGTGAACATGTTTATCTCAGAAAGATTTCAGCCACAACTTCACCTCTTCAATGCGGCTTGTAATATTTTGTACCAGAACTCAGAAATCTGCATGTCATCTGCAAAATATTGTACTCAGGCGAGATTCAACCCAAAAGAAGCAAGAAAAACATTTTGAAAACCTGGCCCAATAAAGCATTCCTAAGGACAGCAAGGCTTGTCACAGGCGAAGTTAGATTTCCCAACTTTCCAGGGTTTTCAGATTGTGGGATGAAACTGGAGTAACCGGGAGCCAGAGCTGGTGAGGAGTTAAACCCACAACTTTCTGGCTGTCAGACAAAAACATCTGAAAATCTGAAATACATTTTCCTGTTTCTCCAAAGTTCGCAGGACGTAGAGAACTGAAGGATCCAGTGTCACAGTTCTGCTGCAGAATTTCTGTTTAAAAAGTTCCTGACTTTCCGTCATGTTTCGGTGTTTGGGTCCAAAAACATGAACATGAATTAATTTAATCTGTTTTTCTGCCGGGCGCGATCTGCAGCGTCTCAGTCGTCATATCGACCCGGACAGGAATGAACAACACTGCCGTCTGTCATTACCGCATGCACGCACACACACCCACACCCAGCACAGTGTGTGCTGGAGAAACACTACCCTTATTGATTTCCTGTAGTTTTCATGCAAAGACGTGGAGAAGATAATTCCCCCTGGGATGATACTGACAGACTGGAACAAGCTGCTGGCACACTAACATGCTAACATGTCTTTTATAAAGCAAACATGAATAAATATAGAAAGTACACTAACATGTTAAATTAGAACAATTTAAATGAATCTGTTAATAAAATCTAGTTCAATGTTTTGCAGTTCAAAAACGGAAAATGAAATATTGTTAATTGAGAAATGTCTAATTTTCCCCAATATTTTAGTTTTACTCATAAAAAAAAGAAATGTTTCAATTTAGCTAAAAAACGAGAGCAAAAATAATCAACAAAAGAAAAAGGCCTTTCTTTGCTGACCACAGGGTTTAATGTCAAGTTTATTTCTGAATATTTTCATTTGTTTTGTTCCACCAGGTTTATTAAACACTGGAAACATAAAACTAAATAAAAAATGAGCCCCAGACTCGTTAATTTACTTGCTTCCAGACTCTTTTGAATCTCTTCAAGCAAGTAAACAACAACAACCTGCTGCAGCTGCAGCGGCAGCTCGGGTCGCCTTTCTGCTTCTGATAAACTTTCAAGGATCACTGGACAGAAAACAGAACTGGTTCCCTTTACATGTCAGCTGCAACCAGTTCAGTTACAGGTAAGAACCAGTTCATTGAGAGCTGGGAACCGGTTCTCCCAGGGGAACGGACCGGGTCGGACCCAGGGTTAGCTGAGCCGCCGTGTTTCCAGCCAGTCACGATCTGCCTGTTTTTGCTCCGTCTCTTTCTGTCGTCCCGCAGGCCGGCCTTGGTGAGCAGATCCAGTTTCACACATGAGCAGCCGCTCTGGTCAGAGCTGATTCCACACCATATATAATTTAATTGTGGAATAACAATAATTTCCCTCTGTAATTTTGCTGTCAGTTATTGTGGCGGTGCGGCCCCCCGGCAGGCGGCTCCGGCCAGGGTAAACATGGAAAACCATGCGCCCATCCAGAGCGGACCTCCAGGTTCCGGACGTTTCTTATTTTACTCGCTTCCACACTCATTTGAAACTTTTCTAGTTTGTTTCAGGCTGTGAGAGAACAGGTGAGCATTTCAGCGTCTTACAGGAAGTTTAGATTTCATTTGTTCATGAGAAAACTTCACAAGGGAAACTTTTAACCACCAGAGTTTCTTATTATATTAACGACAAATAAAACGTATCTTGTTATGACAAGAAACTTTGTTTTGACGACATAAAATGTGTGTTGTTATGAAATACTTTCTCTCTATAACGATGCAAAACTCAGGAAAACAAGAAAGATAGTCATCATAAGAAACTTATGAGGAGTAATTTTCTCATAATTTGAGAAAGTTACTCCTCACAATGAGAAAAGAAGAAACGTTGTGGTTAATTTAAACGAGATGATTTATCTGGTTACATGAAGTCATTTGCGTTGCTTTAGCAGAACGTGTTGCCCTGATTGATGAATGAAAGGCGTCTGATTGGATGGCCAACCTGCTCATTAAGACCGTCTGCTGGACACAGGGTGCTGCACTGGATTTTACTTATAAACATCTTTATGAATAAAATTATTTTCCTTCCTCATTATTTTCATAAAGTGAAAGGAGGTCAGAGGGCGTGAATACTTCAGTGCTTCCTGTAGAACCAGTTGTATTAAACCACTTGGATTAAACCAGTCGGATTAAACCAGTCAAATTCAACCAGTTGGATTAAACCAGTCAAATTCAACCAGTCAAATTCAACCAGTGGGATTAAACCAGTTGGATTAAACCAGTCAAATTCAACCAGTGGGATTAAACCAGTTGGATTAAACCAGTCAAATTAAACCAGTTGGATTAAACCAGTCGGATTAAACCAGTCAAATTCAACCAGTTGGATTAAACCAGTCAAATTAAACCAGTCAAATTAAACCAGTTGGATTAAACCAGTCAAATTCAACCAGTTGGATTAAACCAGTCAAATTAAACCAGTTGGATTAAACCAGTCGGATTAAACCAGTCAAATTAAACCAGTTGGATTAAACCAGTCAAATTCAACCAGTGGGATTAAACCAGTGGGATTAAACCAGTTGGATTAAACCAGTGGGATTAAACCAGTTGGATTAAACCAGTCAAATTCAACCAGTGGGATTAAACCAGTGGGATTAAACCAGTTGGATTAAACCAGTCAAATTCAACCAGTGGGATTAAACCAGTGGGATTAAACCAGTGGGATTAAACCAGTTGGATTAAACCAGTCAAATTCAACCAGTGGGATTAAACCAGTGGGATTAAACCAGTTGGATTAAACCAGTTGGATTAAACCAGTGGGATTAAACCAGTTGGATTAAAGTCTCTGGTTTATCAATAATCCAGAACTAAATGGCTTATTTGTCGCTTTTTCCTTTTAATTTGTCTGAAAACTGCAGTGACCTCTGCAGCGATGGAGCAGTGTGTGATCCCTGACGCGCGCGTGTGTGTGTGTGTGTGTGTGCGTGTGTGTGTGTGTGTGTGCGTGTGTGTGTGTGTGTGTGTGTGTGTGCGTGTGCGTGTGTGTGCATGTTTCCACGGAGAGCTGCTCGTTTTCTCTGCAGTCTTGACTCAGCATGAACATGTGTGCTGGTTTCTGAAGCTGCATGGGATGCGGAGAAAACCCTGTTGCAGCAAAACAGGCTCTGCGGTTAGTGAAGGAGGAGACGCCTTCACTGAGACACAGAGCGATGCGATCAGGTGTGTCTTTGTGCAGCCTCCACCCAGAGATCAACGCCTCGCTCGTCAATCTGGTGGAATCACCGGAACAGGTTGCGAGTCCAAATCCTGCGTCTTCCTCCGATCTGAGGCTAAACCAGCCCGAGGACACAGACATCACAGGGTGATGGGAGGATTAACTCTGAAGCATTCTGGGTAATTTATGCTCCACCATCAGCACCAGAATCTAAACACTAACAGCAGGGGAGTCCAAAGTGTGGTGCTGGGGCCATTTGTGACCCACTAAAGGAGCTTTGTGTGGCCCCTCTCATTTTTATAAACTAAAAATTATTCTTTGACTAACAAGTTGAGAAACTGAACAATTTCTAGACCTTTTTAATTCAAATATTACTTGTTAATTTGTGTCTGTTTTAGCTAGCTGTTTGCTATAAAGTGTTGATTGCTAGCAGTGAATATGTGAACAGACAAACATTGGAGTTTTGTTTTTGAGCCTTAACCAAGAGGGAACGTTCCTATCTGGTCCTCGGTGGCTTTTATCCGACCCTGGAGGAACCCACACATTCACAGGGAGAACGCGCCACATCATCCCTATCGAATGATGAACATGAGTTCATCATCCATCCCTATCGAATGATGAACATCAGTTCATCATCCATCCCTATCGAATGATGAACATCAGTTCATCATCCATCCCTATCGAATGATGAACATCAGTTCATCATCCATCCCTATCGAATGATGAACATCAGTTCATCATTCGATAGGGATGGGGGTTGTAGTTGCCATGGTTACGCATCATAACAACTAAGGTAAAGTAAAAAAGTGGGAATAAAAAATCCTTCTTGCTGCTCAGCATCCAGAACCAGAGAAAAAAAGAATCCAAATGGGTCAATCACAGGCAGCAGTTCCAACATGCTGCCACTAGGGGGCGCCGTTCTGGAGAAACGCCACAGAGGCGTTGGCGGAATCTAAGATTTCAGCTTGTAGTCTGGTGTCACCTTTGACCCCTCGACCTTTACTCTTGGTTGACATGAAAAGCTGCGCGGACGGCGGTGGCGGACGGACGGACGGACGGCGGTGGCGGACGGACGGACGGACGGGCGGACGGACGGACGGCGGTGGCGGACGGATGGACGGACGGCGGTGGCGGACGGACGTCGGTGGCGGACGGACGGACGGCGGTGGCGGGTGGACGGCGGTGGCGGACGGACGGACGGCGGTGGCGGGTGGACGGACA